TATATCCAACCTTTACTGTACCTCTTCGCGTCCACTGCAGTTCGCTGGTTAAATGCAAATTAATTTCGTTCTAAGAAGTAAATGAAATAAACAAACGGTCAGCTCTTTTCCCCGATATAATTGAAATTAATTAAATTGATTTTACTGCCCCGATACTCCTGCGGCCGGATACCGATGCCGTGTGGGAGACCTGATGCCATTAATTAGCTGCATGATTAACGATAGTACCGCCCCCTGGTCCCCCCTCCGACTCTTGGCCAAAACCCGCTTTAATTGTAGTTTAACTTCTGCCATTGAACTTGTGCTCGTATGTGCCATATATTATTTCGCCCAGAGCACTTGAAACAATAACAATAGCAACGCTGGGCGGTAATTAAATCAAATCCGCTAAGAAGAAGAAATCGTTAACATAACAAATAGCACATGTGCGAACATATAAACAACAACACAGCACAGGGAAAAACAATAACAAAAGCCAAACAGAACAACAAACGCGAAAAGCCGCCAAGTAAATACAATCGAAGCGAAGCTTGGCCAGGAAAAATGTGAAACGTCAAATAGTTATCGTTACTTTTTGTTGCCAACATTTATCTGCACGTGTTTCCCCATGACTGGTGGGTGTACGGTAAAGATATAGAGGGGCATATCAATCGATTCTTTCCACCCAAAGAGGTCACGTACAAAAACAAGCTCAAAACTCGACGCCAAGCGAAAAACGAATAATGAAAACTCTAAAGAAGCGATTCAAACAAAAGTGTAAAGAGTGTAATGAAATTAAAGCAAAAATCTGGCAATCAAGCTTACAAAATGGTTAATGCTTTTTTTATGTACATGCGAGAGTGTCGGTAACCCCTATGCAAAGTCAAGGGCCTTCCCCTTTCTTTCGCTCTCGCTCTTTTGCATTGCCAATTAGCCTAGGTTTTTACAGTTACTCCATGACCCTGACCAATGTCAGGCAGGGGCTTAGACAGAAGGGGGTTTGGGTTTAAATTATAATGGGAATTAAAATTTGTTGATCAATTTGTAAAATGAAGTAAGTTTTGAGCTTAATTTGTATCTACTAATGTTTTTTTTTATTCAACCTTTAATTCACGTTTCACTGCATAGTAATCTTAAACTATTCCCATACTTTGAATTGATATTTATTTATATTTTTATAAGACTGTTTTTTTCAACAAATCAAAGTTTAAAAAACTCAAAACTAAGCCAAAAATGTATTAATTTTAATTCGGAAAGCTGTTTTGTGCTAGTTTTCATAAGGTTAACAAATCTGCATATTCAGTTTTTAAAGTTTACAAATTTCAAATTTTGTCAAATTTTAAAACTTTGATTAATGTAAAATTTTGCCTACAAAAATTGAAAAATTTTGAAAAAAAATAAATTTCATCCGGATATAGCTAGATCGATCCAGCTCTTCGTGCTGATCAAGAATATATATGATTTATGGGGTCGAAAATGGTTCCTTCAATGCGTTTTAAGCTTCTGACTAAAATGATAATACCATTTTTTAGCCTATATTTGGCAATATTTTTATATGACCATTTTTTCAACAAGTCACACTCATAATTAAGCCAAAAATGCATTAATTTTAATTCGGAAAGCTGTTTTGAGCTAGTTTTCATAGGGTTAACAGATCTGCATATTCAGTTTTTAAAGTTTACAAATTTCACATTTTGTCAAATTTCTAAAATTTTAATACTGTAAGATTTGGTCTAAAAAAATTATAAAAATTTTGAAAAAAATTAATTTCTTCCAAATATAGCTAGATCGATCCGGCTCTTCGTGCTGATCAAGAATATATATGATTTATGGGGTCGGAAATGGTTCCTTCACTGTGTTTTAAGCTTCTGACTAAAATGATAATACCATTTTTTAGCCAATATTTATCTATATTTTTATATGACAATTTTTTCAACAAATCAATGTTTAAAAAAACTCATAACTAAGCCAAAAATGCATTAATTTTAATTCGGAAAGCTGTTTTGAGCTAGTTTTCATAGGGTTAACAAATCTGAAGTCAAAATCACAGAATTACTAGCTTCCGACTAAAATTTAATTACCCTACGAAGCTAAAAAATTTTTATAATTTTGTAACATCAAATATAAAAAAGTTTTCTCAGATATTATTTATTTTGAGTATGCAAATTCTTTTTTATAGTCTTTTACAAACTCCTTCTAAAAATTGTGAACTATGGCACTGAAAGGACTGAAAGGACTGCTCCTGTACTTCTTCTACACACACACAGACACACACACAAGTCTGAGAAGCTATAAAAAATAGGTGTAAAAATAGTTGAATGGCAAATTTGAAGCATTTGTTGATTATTGTTGCCTTTGTTTGCCATCTATTTGTTGGCTATTCAAATTTTATGCATTGTCAGCGGACAACAACTCGAAATGGTAACTGGTAAAAAAATATTAAGGGGGAGCGGCAGCACAGCGGTCGAACATACAATTCAATTTAACGCCAAACTGCTGGCCCGATTATTGGGTTTTCTAGTTCAAGTTGAGGGTCAATAGCTGCTTTTTTTCGGCTTGCATTTTGGCCCGGCTTTGGCTTTGTCTGTCTGTCTGTCTGTCTGAGTTGGTTTGTTTGTTTGTTTGCAATTTGTAAAATTGCCAAACAAATATTGAATGGCGAGTGGAGACTGAAAGAGAGAGAGGGAGTAAAAAAGGCAAATGCAAACAGACGCATCTGTTTATCGGCAGCGTTAAAAAACTTCAGAGTAAAGGGTCCCGTATCCCAAAAACATTTAATACTCGATGTTTATATTTAGCCAGAGGGGGAAGGGATGGGCCGAAGGGCGTAGCTAGGGTTCAACGTGATTCATTGCACTGAGAAAAATGCAACCCCACCTAGACCTACTTACCTAGACCCACACTCTAATGAGAACCAATTTGCATTACATACAATGCTGGCTCTAAACATATAAATATTCATAAGTACAAGTACTTTGCAGACACTATTTAACACATTTGCAGGTGTTAATGGAACTAATAAATCATTTGATGTTGTAATAGAAAAATATAATAATATAATAATATAATAATATAATAATATAATAATATAATAATATAATAATATAATAATATAATAATATAATAATATAATAATATAATAATATAATAATATAATAATATAATAATATAATAATATAATAATATAATAATATAATAATATAATAATATAATAATATAATAATATAATAATATAATAATATAATAATATAATAATATAATAATATAATAATATAATAATATAATAATATAATAATATAATAATATAATAATATAATAATATAATAATATAATAATATAATAATATAATAATATAATAATATAATAATATAATAATATAATAATATAATAATATAATAATATAATAATAATAATAAAATATTATAATAGTACTTGGAAATCTTTGAAGTTATCTCCCTTATAACCTATGAAACCACTTAATTACCAATTGAACAACTTTGAAGATTTATTATTTATTATATATTATCAAATAATGAGACTATTTTTTGATCAGTGCATTGGAATTGAAATCAGTTTCACCCAAAGGGAGCCTAGGTTAAAGTCACAAACCACATAAAGCCCCTCCTTTATCCCCCTATACAAAGTGGAATATGGGAGTGTAAGTTAATAAAACAAGGTGGGAAAGTGGGTACACGTGACTGGCTTTACGGCAGATCAGTTAATTATAATAAATGCATTATGGGGGACCAGGCGGTAAGCAATTAATCGAATGACTGACATGACATTCAATTTAGTCATCCCATAAGGGCTAAAGGTTCTCTACGAATATTAATTGGCCAATTGGGGTGATCACTAAGCACTAAGCACTAAGCAGATGATTGATCAGTCATCTAATTGATTTGTATTGGGGTAGATCAGGTCACAATAAAACGAGTTCTAAACGTTCAGTTTAAACGGATTTTGATCAGAGGGCTTAAAGCTCATTAGCCGTTGGCTTATAGGGTTTAATGATGTATATAAATTATTTAACAGAAAACTGGTTAATCGGTTAGAAAATGATATAATAGTAGTTAATGAAGTAATTTGTTAAATTAAAGAAAGAAATGTTGTATATATTTATGGGATTAGTAACTATATAAATATAAATATTTTTAAAGACAAAATGCCAGACATATTTCAAGTTAGTTAGAAGCAAACATGTTTTATTGAAAACAATTAACTTGTTTCCAGCTTTAAAACCGCTTTTATTTATAACCAAAAATTTTGTCTTATGAGACCCAAGTTTTTTAATAGTTCTTCGATTTTCTTTTTCGCAAAATTCGTAGTGTCTAAATTCAGGTTTAAAAAAAATTCTATTTCTGGATTAGGCGTGAGTTCAAGGTGTTTCCGTTCGATTCCAGCTGCATTTTCGTTGTGCAGTATCAGGTATCAGGTATCATTATCATCATCATCATCCGTCGTCGGCTTAAAGCTATATAATTTTTATGGTAGAATAACGAAACCCGGTATATCGCACCGAAACTCGGTCAGACAGATGAGGTGAGCCACTTGCGGTGTCTATATACATTGTGGCTATATTGTGGCCATATATATTTGTTGGCTTTTCGGAGATCCAAAAGTTCACTGAACTGCAGTTCAAGCTTGGCTTGGCTTGGCATTGGGAGCGAGCGAGAAAAGCGATCGATGGGCATTGGTGTGGAGAGTGTGGCACTGGCGGCTTGGAAGTGTGTCAAGCCGACCAACAATTACACTGAAAGTAGATGGTCCACTTTCCTGAAACCCGTTTACAGTGGCCAGAAGCAGTGGCTGAGAAAGCTGGCTAAATGATGGGATCTAAAGAGGTGGCTCTTACCCTGTAGCAATAGCAATGCTCTTATTTTTTTTCATTACATTTCTTTCTATATTTTAGTTTAAATATTAATTTCACACATTTTCTTGTTTAACATGTACACCCCTTTAAATGCATTTTAAATTTAACGATTACCCAAAATGAAACTCTTATTAAACATTTATTTAAAATGCATTTTAAATTTAACGATTGCTCAAAATGAAACTGTTATTAAACATGTATTTAAAATGTTGTTAAGTTAGAGCCAGCTTATCTGGAATGCAAGCCTCTTTAAAACTCTCATTGCATTTCGTGTAATTTCCCTCTGAATTTAGCTCACTCTCTAGATGACTCTAGCTTCTAGCTTCTCTATGTTAAGCCCAGCTCACTCTCTTCCACTCTCCCCATGCAGTTACACATGTGAAGTTGTGTGTTCGCTGTTGCAGTTTCCAGCTTCTGTGAGTTAAGCCTAGCTCACTCTCTTTTACTCTCTCCCTTCATTTACATGTGTGCGATTGTGTGTTCGCTGTTGCTGATTCCAGCTGCTCTGAGTTAAGCCTAGCTCCACTCTCTTCTACTCTCACCGTGCAGTTGTTTGTTCGCTGTCGCCGTTGTAAAACTGCAACAGTCACTCTCTCTGCTTCGCTCTGGCCTGCTTACAGACTTTCACACAGTGATAAGGCTGCGCTGCTCTCTCTTGTAAGCGAAAAAATATAAAAGGGGGCGCATGCGCCGCCCGCTCCCTCATTCGCGCAGCTGCACTTGGATTGAACACATCGAGCTCTGGTACGGATTCCGACTGGCGGGTGCTTGGCGCTTCCTCCTCCTCTTCAAGCCGAATTCATTCGAATTACTGCCCAAAATGACGGCCAACAGAACAACAACAACAACAGCTCAGCGTGGCGTCTATATCACAAACGAGGTGAGTTCCTGCTTTGCCAAAAAAATTAGAAAATAATAATAATAATAAGGCAAAGCTCGGAAAGGAACGCGAACGTGAATACAAACACAAGCCGGGCTGAAATAATTTATGGAGGTTGCCTCGGGCACTTTTGATTCTGATACTTATGCTGATTTTCGGTTCTGATTCTGATTCTGATTCTGACGATGATGAGTGGCACTCCGAAACTGGCTGCTAATTAGTGCTGCCTCATTAAAAGCGAACGAAACTGTTGCTCGGACACTCGACACCAAGCGCTCTTCGCAGTACGCAGAACAAAAACACAGAAACAGGAACAAGGGAGCTTGAAAAGTGGGGTCAAAACAAGAATCCAAAGCCAACTTGTGATTGCCAGACAAAGCCAGAGCCCCTTGCCAAATTTAAATAACCAAATTAATAATCAATGAAAACAATTAGAGCGGGAAAACTCGACGCCGCCGCCTTACTTTTCCTTTCTTGGGGCAAGCCTTTATCCCGCAATATTGGATTCCGAGTGATTTGAATAAATTAGTATTCGTTTTCGGCAAACAGCTGGCGGGGCAGCAACTTGAAAGAAAGCAACAGTAAAAAGCAAATATCAAAAATATCCAAAGAGAGAGACGAGAAAAACAGAAGCAAAATCAAATGCAAATTATAAAGAAATAATAATAATAATGTGGCTAATTATGAGTGAAATTTGAGGAAATCAAATAAATACGAAAGGCACAAAAACAGAATAAAGAGACGGCGGCGGTCATTGTGAAGCGAAGTGGAAAATCGTGTTGAAAGCGAACTTAAAGTCGGGGAAAACAAAGCAAGGGAAATGTAGAATTTTTCAAATCAAAATCACTTCCTATTGAAATCGAACTTCAATTAAATTCAATTATGAGAAATTCAATCCTTTTTAATAATCAGTCCAAGAATTGAAGCATAAACTTTAACTTTCCTTTTGGCCTAAAATAGAAGTAAAAGTCAAGCAGGTGAGCGAAATGCTGCCGCTGCGGTTAGCTCATTAGCAAAGTTAAATGAGATTGTGTTACACCTTCGCCCACTAATATGCAAACCGAAACTATAATTAAGCTTAAGCGGCCCAAGAAGAGGCCAATTCAGTGGCCCAAAATTCCCGCTCCCTCCCCCCTCTTGGCCCTGGTTTGTTGCCAAAGTAATTAACGTTTATTGGCTGCGGACAAACAAGAAGTTCGTGGGCGGAGGCTTCGCTCCCAGTTGATGTACATTGCTTACACACTGCTTATTTTCGTAAATTCAATCTCCTTTCGTTGAATATATATATAGTTACATACATATATATGTATGTATTCATATGTGTATCCTGGCATTATCTGCCCACAAAATGGTAGCGTTGCTCTCCTCTCCTCTGTCTGTTTGTTTGCCTCGCGTTTAGACTTTTGTTTGCTCGACCAATATTTGCTACAAATTTTGAGTAAGAATAACAAAAAGATTTTTGCGCGACCGAGTCAACAAAGTGAGACGGTAAGCCCACACACACACACACTCTATCTCTTATATATGTAAATGTACATAGATTCAAGTGCTGTCAATCGATGGCAACAATTACCAGGCCAACAACTACGGCAACTGGGCGTATGCGTGATATGTGCCACACAGCAGCATCACGCATACGCCCCGTATGCCAAAGGAAACAACTTGGACCTCACAAGTTTCGGCCAAGTCTTGTGCACAGACAATCTGACCGTAATTTAACTTGGCCAACAACTGCAAACAGATTCAATTTGCATTGCGACATGCACATGCCTCAGCTCAAGATATTACACACTTGGAAACTAAGGAAAATATTCTAGAAGCATATACATTGAATCAAATATTTCGATTTATTAAAAAAGGGAAAGCCTCTCTCTCAGTGCATGGAAAAGGCTAAAGTGAAATCCCATATTCAGATGGCTTTAAACAACTTCTTATTATTCTCTGGCGTCCCTTTCATTTTGTGGTGCCTGTGGGATTTTTGTCATGCAAATGGAATCTCACATTCTCTACGCACAATTCACAAAGTAAAAGAACTCTCTCAGACACACACACATTCCATTTTTGATGGCTTTTCCAAGGAACCCTTCTCCTGTAATTTATATTTGTTGGAAATAGTTTTTATGTATTTTTAATTACACATTCACAAGTTTTTCACCCGAGAGCAGGATGGACAGGCAGTTGAGATAAATGTGTTGGATATTTATGAAACTTTCAATCAACTCTTTTCACCCGAGACACCCGATTTAAATAATTCTGGATAAATTCGAGTGTGCATTTAGGGAATAAATAAAAATAAATCAGTGAAAGAAAACCTGAACCAATTGATATGCGCATGATTATGCTAACGGTTTCTTAGCCTGAATCAAATGGAATACGAAATTGTTTTCCTATTCGGAAATCAAAACAGCAGCTCTATTTTTATTTTATTTCAAGTCCAGCAAACATCTGGAAAGCCAAGTTAAAATGTATTTTAATTTGTTTTTGCTTAAAGTTTTCAAGTACACCCAGCATTGAGGTGGCAGAATCTTTTTGGCCAGCTTAGGGTCAGGGCTGAGATTTGTTTAATTATTTGTTTAATTAAGCGGCAACATGCGGCTGCATTCGTGTCAGGGCTACCGCAGAATCTCCGTCTCGAGAGAAAAAAAGCCCGCTTAAATGCCTTTTGAGTAACAATTAGACAATTGCAGGGTTAACTGCCTAGCCCCCCTCCCGGCCCCTTGTTTCGGGCCAAAGTCATGGTTTGTCATGGCCCGCTGGAGATACCACTCCCCTCCCTCAGAGCTTGACCTGCTCTGCACTGGTGTTTTATGTTATTTACCAGGTAAATGTGGCTATTTTGGGGTATATTCAGCTTTTAATTTATAACTAAAGCTGGGGGGAATTAGCTGAAGCCAGTTTAGTTTATGTTTGAGTTTCATTTTGAATAACTATTGAACTGTACTAAAAGTATAGTGATTTATTGCAAAGTATCTTCTAGTCTTGACCCTCTTGCCTACGAAATTCTTTCTTTTTATGTTTCGATTTATATTTTACAAAGCCAGACTACGAATACAGACATGTAGCAAACACAGACCTTTGATGGATACTTGGCCATATTTTCGTTACTAAATGCGGGCTCAAAGTTCGCCAGATTGTGAACCTTTCGACTTGGAAGGCTTTCGAAATATTTCAAATCCGCTCGGGAGGGGGGCGGGAAAATTCACTCACTTGTGTGGAAAAACTAGTTGCTTGGCTGGTTGCAGGCTGGCCTTGGTCTAATCCACATTTTTAGAATCCCCGAAGCAAAGCAACAGCTGCTAGCGGGCGGTGGCGGGCGGATTCTGTGGCCAAACATGATACTCGATTGTTTGGCCTACGTTTTAGCCATGATGGCAGCCGTTGGCCAGAACGAGCATGGCTCATAGCTGCGTAGTTGCATAGTTGCATAGCTGCAACTTGACTTTGCAATCACACCGTTTTGGACCGTCTCGCGCCGAACAAGTGCCATTTCAAGTGCGGATTGCCAAGATCAATGTGCGGCGGCAATGAGTTTCAACAATGACGTACGGATATGCATACATACATGGACGTTGCCTTGATGACTCTCCTTTCAATGGTTTTCCTTGCAGATAATCATCACGGCCATGGACCGATTTGTGTGGTTTGTCCTCCTGGTGGTCATGTCGCACCTGGTCACCGAGTTCACCCGCGTTTCTGGCTATGCCCGTGGCCAGCGCCAAGAGCTGGTGCTGCTCAATGATGTAAGTAAGGTCAGATGCAACTTTAAATCCATACTAAAACTTGTCTCAAACTCTTACAGACTCTGCTGCAACCCATGCCCGTTCAGAATATGGTTTTGTATCCCAACCAGGAGTATGGCCAGTACCAGCAGCCGCGTCCCTCCTCCGCGGGCTCTGTGCATAGCCTGCAGCAGAATGCCGCCTTGCTGCTGAGTAGCCTGGCGGCCCAGGCTGCCCAGGCAGCGGGAGCAGCTGCAGCTGGACCCACATCGGTGGCCGGCAGCAATGGGGCCCTTCTGTCCCTGGGCAATGTGCCCCCACAGCCAGCCCACACGGCGGAGAACACATATCCCATGTTCAGTCTGCGCCCGCTGATCGACAGCATTTTCGAGGTGGGTTTTCCGCGATGCGATGCAGTAAAGTAAAGTCGCTCAACCGAATTTTCCGCCCCCACAGATTCCGATTTCGACACTGCGCGCTGTCAACAATCTGGTGGGTCGTCTGACCGGAAGCTATCGTCAGGCTGGTGCCACGACGGAACTATCACAGAAATCTGTGGCCGCCGGCACAGCTCTGCCCTCGGGCAGGCCCAGTCCTTCGCCCAGCCTCCTGCCGCGTCCTGGCCATCCGGATGCAGAGCGTCATCAAATGCGCGAGGAGATGGCGTAATTTTAGGAAACCCCCCACTTTTAGCTCGTAATTTGTGCGTGTGAATGTATTTGTCATTTCTGTCAGTGTATGTGTCAAGTGTGTGTGTTGATTTTCTGTGCATTTAATGCGTTTCATTGTGTACCTTTTGTGATATATGTATGTGACCTTGTTGTAAGGCTAGCCTAAGGATATTTATGTCCAAAAATGAACAAACAAACAAAACAAAACACAAAAACAACCCCAAAAATTAAGTCTAAAGAAATAAATGTAGAAAAAACATGATATATTACTATGGAGGATATTAGAGGGTGAAATTTAAGTTTTTAATAATATATAAAATTATGTAGATATTTTATAAAGTTATAGTTTAGAGAGTCTTTCAAGATAAATTAAAGATTATTTTTGGTTTACTCCAATTTATTCACTTAGTTTTGTTTGCACAAATTTTTCTAAATGAAAATTAAGCCAAACAAGAAAAAAAGTAACTTCGGCATGCCGAATTTTATGTACCCTTGCAGATAAAACTTCGATCAGTAGGAATTAAGATAATATAAATTATATATGTTTATATTTAAAAACAAATTTTTAAAGCCTGCTTTTATTTGATATAAAATTGTACAAAAACTTCTATATTAATATTTAATGGATATGTATCAATTTTGATGAAAATCTGTAGAAAACTGGAAAAGTTATAATTTTTTTTTCTTAAAATTTTCCAATCGTTCCTATGGCAACTATATATATATGTATATATATAGTCCACCGATTCTCCATGCTCCGATTTATATACTAGTAAAATTATATAGAAGAATAACTCCATAGTTTCCTTTAAATAGCTTGCTCTTGAATTTGTTCCAAAACAAATTTCTCTCTGTACATATGATTCTCAACTGGTTCAAACATTCCCGGAACGAAGTGCCTTCTGCCAACCAAGTCAAAGTAAAGTGTTGTGTTACAAAAGTGCAAGTCATTGTTTATTTGTGTTCAGAGTTACTTACCTCTCATAGATACTTACTGGTCACTCACTGTTCAGAGCTACTTACTGGTCATTGTTAATTACTGATCATAGTTAATTACTGGCCATAGATACTCACTGTTCAGAGTTACTTACTGCCCATAGATACTCACTGTTCAGAGTTACTTACTGCTCATAGGTAATTACTGATCATAGTTGATTACTGGCTATAGATCTATAAATCGTCCGATTGTTCCTATGGCAGCTATATATATGTATATATATAGTCCACCGATTCTCCATGCTCCGATTTATATACTAGTAAAATTATATAGAAGAACAACTGCATAGTTTCATTTCAATAGCTTGCTTTTAAATTTACTCCAAAACAAATCTCTCTCTATACATATGATTCTCAACTGGTTCAAACATCCCCGGAACGAAGTGCCTTCTGCCAGCCAAGTCAAAGTAAAGTGTTGTGTTACAAAAGTGCAAGTCATTGTTTATTAGTGTTCAGAGTTACTTACTCCTCATAGATACTTACTGGTCACTCACTGTTCAGAGTTACTTACTGGTCATTGTTAATTACTGATCATTGTTAATTACTGGTCATGGATACTCACTGTTCATTGATAGGTTAGGATCAGAGTTAATTACTGATCATAGTTACTGGTCTTAGCAACTTACTGGCCATAGTTACTTACTGGTCAAAGTTACTTAATGTTCATTGATACTTACTGATCATAGTTACTTAATACTTACTTACTTACTTAATACTTACTTGATGCTTACTGCTCTTTGATACTTACTGCTCATTGATACTTACTGATCAAACATACGACTCAGCTGTTGAAGCTGATCAAGAATATATATAATTTATATGGTCAGAGATGACTTCTTCATTACATCGCAAACTTCTGACTGAAATTTAAATAACCTGCAAGGGTATAAAAATATTGTGGAACTTAAAATAATTTTCAAACATATTTAAATATAATTTTAAATCAATTTTAATGCAAATTTAAATAGCAAGGTATATTCTAGATATACATATAGATAGATATTTAAACAAACTATGATAAGAAATTTAGAGTAAACAATAATAATTTTAGATAGCCTAGGTCTTTATTTTACTATTTTAGCTAGCAAAATAACTTAAGGGTAAAATTTAAGCCTTTAAGTAATATATATCAGTGCAAATAATTTAAACTTAATATGTTATTAATTTGAAAGGCAAAATTAATTAATATTTACTTTTTATAACCAGAAAAATGCAGTAAAAATTCCACCACACTAAATTCCACATCTGAGCAGGAAAAATACTTATTAAAATTTAAATAAAATCAAATTTTTTTGGTAGTTCCATTCCATTGTGAATCGTAAACTAATTTTACACGAATCGAATAAATATATCCCTCCCCAAAGTATGCCACTCAATCCGAATTATTCCTCGGTTTACTCGCATATTATTGTAAAAATCCAAGCATATTTTAAACTGCATAAATGCAGCTGTGGTTTATACAAAAAAACATGGATTAATTCGTCAATTAAATAATATTTATATTTTTTTTTCGGCAGTGAGTAAATATTATGAACCATTGACGAGTCAATAATCGCATATATGTTATATATATATTTATTAACAGATTGGCGCACAGAAAAAACACTTCCCCGTAGATTAATCAGAGTTGGAAATAAAAAATACAATCGCTTATCAATAGCAGTGGCACTTCCTGGCAATCAAAATACTGCAAACATTGTTCCACTCATGTCATTGATTTGTGCAACACAAATAGACGCAGCCAAAGAAGATTAATTAATTTTAATGAGATTTTCATTTCCAATGCGCTGTACAAATAAAACACAACGTAATTAATGGGGGGAAGGGAAGGAGAGAAGGACGATAAAAGAAACAGTTTTTTATCCAGGATAAAGTGTCCCTTTTTTGTGTGTGTTGTTGGCCAGTCAAGGTAATCATGCGTGATGCAAAAGGACCCAAACCATCCGAAAAACGAATCGCCAATGAATTGAATTTAATTATATATTTTCTTGTTGGACCCTTTTCGGTGGCATTTGATTTTTTTTCTTTCGGCCATTCCCCCTTCCGACTTTGGCCATCTTTCCAATCATTATCTAGCACGTGGCTAGAAATTGGGAGCCAGAAAACAGAATTCAGCATTAGCACAGGCGGCTTTGTTTTGTCATTTGAATACCTAATGAGCATAAGATAGATAGAGCCAGAGAGAGAGTCAAGAAACCCCAAAAGCAAAATAGATTCACCATTGAATTCAATGGAAACTTTAGCGAAAATAAAAACAATACAGACTGAAAACCGCGGTTTATTAATTTGTCCAACTGCAATTGGCAATTGGCAATCGGAATTTTTTTGCAGCTTCGTTGAAGCGTGAAACGAAAAGCGAAACCGAAAACCCCAAAAACCGAAAACCGAAAACCAAAACTGTTTATGGCCAAATGCAACCGAACCGCAGACGTCCGAATTGCCAAAGGCTTTAAAGTCAGCAAAAACCTGCAACAGGGGGGCAGTGAGAAACTGCCAGAAGTGACGTTTCATATTGGCCATAAACCGGTTTTTTTTTTCTCAGTGCTAGCCAAAATGGTTGTAGTTTAATGGGGCGTATGAGTAATGTCATGGATTTACGTGATATAGTTTTTTACGATTCTATATGTGTAGTTCATGTAAGCGCATTGGCAAATCCAAGATGAAAATATATTTAATTAAAACTCAGGGTTATTTGCTTACTTTAGTTTATAGCCTTAAATGTAGATTACTTGGAAAATCCCAAATGGAAAGTTAGGCAAAGAATATAATTATATTCCTTTTGTGGTAATATATTCTTTAATGCTAAAATGTATCTAATTTTAAGTCACAATTTCCCTCAATTCGTAGCTAGACATTTTATTATTAATTTTATTATTTTAATAAGCTCATTAAATAATTTTCAAGCCTCGAAATAAGTCCTTAAGGTTTACACATAATTATATTCAAATTTAAATGGACTTACTGACCTTTTAAAATACCTTAAAACTGCTGCTAATTAAATATTTAAAATAAGGCCCTGCATATTTCAGGGACTGAAAAGGTAAATAAATAAATACTACTTTAATCAATATATACATTTTACAACTAATGAAAAATACATTTACATTTCCATCAAAATAATTATTATTTTTTAGGCATGTATAAACCTTTTAATTAGCTAAATAACACATCAAACCAAGTTAAAACTTTTTTCCCCATAGAAGGAACAGCAGAATAGAACTTTGAACAAAATATAGCTTTGTCATTCGGCAGACACACTTGTCTGAGATGATGGTCTGCGATGTTTCCAAATTCTCACCCAGTTGTTAGGACAGGTGCCGGATTGGACTGCCAAGGTGCTAATAGGTCGCCAAAAAAATAAAATTCAGTATACATAACTCGGAAATTCTTGCATCATCATCTTCATCGCTGCACCCAGCAGCAGTCGGAAGATAATAAAATATATATATAATAAACAAAAGTGAAGAGGAAGACGATAGAACAAAAGCCGGGCTCCTATATAAACAAGTGAGTGCTCACTTAATTGCGCCACAATTCCAGTTTGCAAAGGCATTACAAGCCAGAGACCGGAGAAGACTCGGCCAGAAGCCTGTGTACAGTAGACAGTAGGAGACTTCAAGCCCCCTTGGCTGAATTCAAGTTTAAGCCCGGCTCAAAGCAGCCGCTCAGCCACTCGGCCACTCGACCACTCGACCACTCAGTGCAAATCGAAACCGCGACGCGACAACAACGAACCGCTCACTCTGAAAAAGAGTATTAAAATAAATTAATAGAAATACAACAAAGACAAAGTCAAGCGGCAGAAGATCTACAACAAAAGGTATACCCTCGTTAATTAATCAGAAAACTTGGAGTCGCCGCAAAATTATGCTGAGCCGCTCCCCCAGACCAAGTGCGAGGTAGAATTCTCGGGGAGAAACGCGATTCGCATACGAAACGAGCCTGGAATTGATGCCAACTTCTGGATTTTCTTGTCTTTTAGCCACAACAATGAACGCCTTACTGGGAGTGCTCTGCCTGCTGCAGACGGCCAGCCTGGTGCCCGCCCAGGTGAGTCCATCTCCTGTCCCATTTCCATGTCCTTACCCCTACCCAGTTCCGGAAAATTAATTAAAAGCATCCAGTCGACTGACACCTGCCATCGCGCACACTCCGGCGCCAAGTGTCGGGCCAGGACGAGCTTTTGTACCAAAAACCAGTCAGTCAGTCAGTCAGTGAGTCAGTGCGGTTCGAAAATATTTTAATTACAACGCAGTCAACTTGCTATTTATTTTTGCATTGCCACTGCCACTGCCACTGCCACGTTTATGTGGTAAACGAGTCCCAGGCTTCAGTCTCATCTTCTCGGAGCCTTGAAAAGTTGCCAGTTGCCTCAGCTGACTCATATTTCCCTCAGAGAGAGAGATAAATGTCTCTGCCCTAATTGACACTGAATTCATTAACTTTGATTAATGGATCAATCAATGAAATGCATTTCCCGTTTGTCGACAGTGAGTTTGTTTGGTTTTTAGTTAATATGCACAGAGAGAAAGTAAGGTCTAAAGACTTAATGCTACTTTTATGATCGAGAAAAGACTAACAAGTATTATTCTTAGGAAAATGTACTAGAATTATATTACCAACTTAACAAACAAAATAACTACAAACACTGCAATTTAAATGGAAATGAGAAAGGAAACTAACTTTAAGGTGCTGATGTTTAAATACCTATGCAGTTTGCAAATAAATTATAAAATCGTACCAAAAAACACATCATAACTAAAATGTAACTAAAATTATAATACCATTCTTTGAGCGGTTATTTATTTATACTTTATATGACATTTTTTTCAACAAATCAATGTTTAAAAACTTAAAAACATAACTAAGCCAAAAATGCATTAATTTTAATTCGGAAAGTTGTTCTGTGCTAGTTTTCATAGGGTTAACAAATCTGCATACTCATTTTTTAAAGTTTACAAATTTCAAATTTTGTCAATTTTTTTAAATTTGATTAATGTAAAATTTAGCCTAAAAAAATTATGAAAATTTTAAAAACATAAATTTCTGCCAGACAAAGCTAGATCGATTCGGCTTTTTGTCCTGATCAAGAATATATATGATTTATAGGGTCGAAAATTGTTTCTTCACTGCGTTTTTGCTAAACGAATTTACTATTGATGAGAAAATTCATACATTAAGAATTTGTTCAAAAATTCTTCACTAAAATTCCTCAAATTTAACCAATATAAATTCCTAAACTAACTTTACCGCATAAACTATTTAATCAATATAAATCTGCATCGGAAAACCGAGAGCAATCAATGCAGGCAGCACAGATCAAAGCCAGTGAGTCGTGATGATTTTATTTTGTGGTTCGTGGCCACTTAATTAATGTGAAAGGCGAAAGTGCAAAATTCGATTCGAATTTGTTTTTAGCCAAAGTGCAGGGTGAACTTTTTGGCCAGGTCTTATGACCGTTGCACAATGTCCGTGTGTCCGGTAACGGAGCTGTAATTACAGGCCAAGGTGTGCTTAATTTTCTTACCTGCCTGGGCCTGGATAGCAATTACCTCTGTGAGTTGGCTTGGCTCACTGGCTTATCATTAATCTTGGACTTTAACAATTATACATCATTTTAATAACTACTGCCTTGAACTTTGGCCTGCCTTAGCTAACTAATATCAATTTAATTGCATTTTTTAATGCTGATTACTCATACGCAGTGTTGCGCATTAGTTGAAGTTGGGAAACTACAGACTTAAAAGGAAATACTAGGAGCCCAAGTATAAATTGTATTTAATACTTAACTATATCTAAAATCTTACAAAACATCAAATTTTCAAAAGGATTTAGTTTTTGTGTTTTCTTTATAGTTGTGTGAGTTATTTATGAACAGATTCCGACTCAGTTCTTGTCACTTAAGCCCTTTAAGATGGCTTTAAGGTAATCTGACCCGGGTGACCAAAGGAATTTTCACACACTCTTCTCTCTGGCGGAATACTTTTTACACCCTTTAGCACCTTTTTCCATTGCCTGGCTTTCTTTTTCTGGGAAAAGTTTATTTCTGTTTGCGGCTCGGGGGCAACAAGAAATTAGATTTTAATCAAAGCATGCATGAAATTTGCATTTGCCAGGGACAACAGGAAAAACCCAAATAATTTTTTTCTTAAGGGTCGTGAGAATTGAAATTAGGTGGAGTCCTGGGAAGGGTTTTCCCCTCAACCATTTGCGGCAGCAATTCCGTGGAATTCATGCAAATTGCCATGCCATATCTGAATGTACAAGAAATCCAAGAAATCCTTTTAGTTCTTTCTTCGAGTTGTAATATTTTTGGTTCGGGTCATGACCCCAGCTTATGAATTTCAGCTGGCAATCTTTAATCTGCCGCTGGCCATTACCCTAAATTAGCCAAACACAATTGTGGCAGTTTGGTTGTCAACTCTGGGCTACATATCGGGGATCCTTATCCTTATCTGGGGGGAAGGGAGGATTGGTTGCTCTGCAAATATGGCAATTGTATAAATTTACTCTCAACCTGGGACAGGTGAAAACATTTAAATTATTCTCCGCAAATATTGAACAATGGGCCTTGGCAAAGCAAATAAAAGTTTTCCTCTTTGTTTGACTAAATAAATGTTGCAGTATTTTATTTAATGCAAATATTTCATTAATTTAACTGACTTTGTGAGTAGTTACAACTTGTTGTTTGCTTTTCAGTATAAAAAGAGATAAATTTAATGGGTTGGGAAACTTTTTGATATGCAATTAAGTTTTTATGAAGTAATAGAAGTCTTGGTAAATAGTTAAATTAGTTTGTTTATCATTGCTGCAATTTTTAACATGATTGTAGAATGACTTTAGGTCTTAATTATCTTTGATTCTTTTATACGTCATTGTAAAGAAAACAAATATTGAATTTTTTATTTAGCTTACAAAGTTAAGCTGCTCATATTATTATTCCATATCGTTATTTTATAAACCAGACAGCCTTCGTGTCAGCCTTAGTGAGACATAAAAACATTATGACATTTTGCAACTTTTCAGTTGAAATTTAATTTCGTAGTTTTAATGTCAGTAGCAAAGTTTACAGTCGAAAGATTAACCATTTCCCCATATCAAAGTACAAACTTAAGTTTTTAATGATTCTATCTCTTTTCCCTAATATACAAAAGCCATATTATATTCAAGTTTTTAATAATAAAAATGCATTACATACTTACCTTTTACCTAAGCTAATAAGTTTTCTATTGATTACTTTGAGAAATAAGATTGTTGGCAGTCATTTCATTGACAATCTTGTTGACTTTTTTAACTGGAAATTCTTGTTAATATGTGATACATGTTTATTGAACGAGATAAATTCCACGAGGGGGAAAACCAGATCAGTTTTTATAGGCTTTGTAGGAGAAGTTGTGTTACCAAGTTTCTTCATCTAATTTATTGCCTTAGATATATGCATATATAGTGCTTTCAGAGTTTAATTAACTAAATGAAAATAAATAGAAAATCTTATATAAATCTGACATTAAAAATAGCAAGTAAAGACTAATAAAGGCTATAATAAATTGAAATGCAGAAATGTAGGTAATTTTTTTAGTCTGCACCTCCCTCAATGTTGTTATCTTTTCCCCACAATTTTCTACACTAATTGTTATTTACAACTTTTGAGTTCACGAAGAGTGCTTAGTCCCGTAACACACAACAATATACACACATTGCTGTATTTATTGCAAGTCCAGGCCATAGATGGCCACTTCCAGATGAGCTGGATGCCCAGTGCTCCACGACTGGTTCCTCTGGCAACGCAAGACCACAAACTTCTGGCCAATGCCGCCGGCGGTGAGGTGTGCCTCGGCTCCACTGTCGTTCAGGTCCTCTACATGGATACCCGTAATCCGGTAGTTATCGCTGGCATTCTGCCGGAGATTCCCAAGGAGATTAAGCAATTTGCTGGCATCGTATGCTCTCGATATAAGTCTCACCTGCGAGCCGTAGACGAGATCCCAGCCGGGGGCCGATGGCGTCAGGTAAACATCCTCGGTGAGCAACGGGCTGGCATATTTGCCGACATGGCCCCAGGTGACCGAGGCGGTGTCCCCTTCCCTCATCCGGGACAGGAGCAGTAGCAGTAGCAGGCACAGCGCCATCAATGACGCCCACTCCCTTGCACTGGTTGTCAACATGACAACATGTGTCTCGGAATACGTTTCTGTCTCTGGACTGGGATTCTGGCTACCGGGTACTCCGCCTCCTACTCCTACGGTTCCTCTAGCTGGTTCTGTCGGCGCGTGAAACCCAAATGAGCCGCCGTCAGGAGGCCAAGTTAAATATTGTGATGGCGTTGGCCCAGCAAGACTCTTATCAGCCAGACAGGTGGCAGAGTGGCCTCTCGTTCTCGATGCTTTTAGTTGGAGACATTAGCATTATTGTAGCTATGTGGATACCCTTACTATTGGGGGAATGATTCGTATTATATATAACCAAAAGAATACATTCAAATTTGGTAAACTTTCAACTTTAAACTGGTAACTTTTACTCTTCAATCTTGGATAGTGAATATAAACTAAATAGTTCAATGAAAAAAGAAACCTAGTGAAGGGTTAGAACTCTAGAATAGAGTATTTCTAGGTCACATAATTTCATAAAAATAACTACTCCGTATCGTTATGTTTGCTTTGGGTTTGTTGTGCTAGCTGTTAAGGTGTCATAATTATTGATAATATGTGGAACGCTCTCGGCACTCTCATTAACCGAGTTTCCACAATCTAACACACAAAAACACACCCACACTCTGGCTCTCTTTCACTCTCTGGAAAATGTTCTTATCTGCGGATCGAACTTGGGTTGGCAGCTTATCTTCACTTCTAGACATTTTAATTATTCTCTACGCCATATAAATATAACCAGACAAAACGAACTGTGCAAATGTTTACGAAAAACAAAACATTTCCAGGGCGGAACTTCAGCGACCTTCACCAACGATTTGAGGCGTTGAGAAATTCCGCTTAAATTGATTAACGCAATGCTTTGGGCCAAGGAAACCTTATAAACTTACTTAACCGGGGCACAAAGGGTGTTTGCCTGTTTTATTTTGCTGGGCTTTTGGCCGGAAAGTTGTGCCGTAACTTTACAACTATATTGCTGAAAAGCAGACCAACATCTTTAGGGCCGAAAAGTTTTTCTAGGGCAGAATGCGAACTTTGAATAGCATTAAGTATACGCAACGTGCGCCGAACGAAATTTGTGTTAAAATTCCCACATCTTCCCGTGTTCTCTCTTTTTCCCTCCCAATGTCAGCTGATTACCCTGCGCGATGGCAAGGTGGGCGTGAACTTTGCCGGATACCATGCGGATGCCGGACTGGGCGGCCTGCTCACGGGCATCGCGGCCCACGGCGGACTCAGTGCCTCCGCCGGAACTCCATGGGGCCCCCGGGCAGCAGCCGGTCTCGGTGGCAATCTGAATGGTGAGTCTCGCAGTTAGCATAATTGATTCGATTTAACGCATCCTCCTGCATCCTTCCCGCAGGACGCACCTCCGGTGTGGGCTATGCCGTCGCCGAGGCCAATCCCTCGGTGGGTGCCAGTGCCCTGCTGGGCGGCAGTGCCGGAGAACATGGTTATATTGGAGCGGAAGCCCATAGTCCGGGCAAGACGGTGGTGTCATCCAAGCAGCACAGTGTCCAGCCAGCATATCCTTCCGATCCTGGCAATCCCTCTTTGCCCACCCTGGCACCCGTGACTCCACAACCAACTGGAAGCAATCACATACAGAGGGTGAAGCCTCCCAAGAAGTACTCGCTGATCAGTCAAGAGGTGAGTAGAATTCATATTTGAGAGTTAAATAAGGTAGGAATGGGTCGGTAAAGCAATTTCCAGTTCCATTTCAACATTTAAGTGTTTAAAATTCGTTGAAACAATTGAGTACGAGTGCGATAAAGTTGTCATCAAACGAAGGACTTACTTAACTCATTACACAACTAAGCTTAACAGGACTTTTCCTGTAATTCACACACAGGGTTTTCCAATCAAGTTTTTCCCGGAAAAGTAATTCCATCTCTTGTCATAAACTTGTTTGCGTTTCATTTACGAGACTCTTAACATTCCGTCACTTGGAAAAGTATCCAACATAATCGATAGATTGTTAAATTCGCAGAAGTTATTTAACGTTTATTGGTAGCTTGCTAAATAAAGCTTAAGCGGTAGTTTAAGTTGCTCTTTCGCAGTAAAATTAAGCCCTAATATGGCCTTTCAATAGTGCAATTTCTGGGAAACAAAACAGCAGGCAGGCGGGTAATAAATCCTTGACTAGTATTGAATATTGATCAATATGGGAATGACAAGCCGGTAAGCAATCAATCTATCGGCATCTCTCCACCGCACCGCCTTTCATGTTTTAGCCGGACCGCAGCGGAATCAATGAAAATGATGTTAAAGCGGTCGCCGATGCTGTTGCGGTGGATAAACACCCGTCCGCCTCGTTGATAATTGTCAAGCGACCACGCCTACGCGCCAAGCACATACGCCCACGTCCTGTGCGGCAACGGAACGTATACGTGATGCAGCAGCAACAGCAGCAGGAGCAGGACGAGGAGGAGAAGCAAATTCCCCAGGAGGAGGCACAACAGGACGAGCAACAGTCGCCCGTTGAGGTAACCGTAGCAACAACATTCAATGCGGTGCGGCTACAGATACACAACCTCACAGATACACGAGGAGAATAGCAATTTATGCGCTCGAAAATCTTGGCTTTAAGACAGCATAAGCACGCTTGATTAGGATTAAGTTTAAGACTTTAAGGTTAATTTGGATTTATCTATTTAAAGTTTTTAGTTTGTAATGATTTCTAATTACTTATAAGCGAAATCACTAGTATATTTGTTGCAGTGCATCCACAATCACAGCCACATACTCACATACACTCACCTCAGTCTAAAATACACAAATTGTTGGCTTTTTGGCCGAGCTCTCTGGACACAAAACTTTCGCTTTGAGGCGAAATAACATTTTGGGCAGTAATTTTATTTGAAAACATTTGCGGACAATGTGGACAGAAGAGGGGTCTGACTTTTACTATTGCGTTCTGGTTTTATTATTTCAGTGAAATTTATTTTAATATAATTTTAATTTCTTCTCCCAAACCCCCAAAGCATTTTCCTTGGTGAATAACTTATGAATATATATCTGTATCCTTACACACAGGTGCCGGTGAAGAGCGAGGCCAAGGTGGTCCAGACCCACAAGTACAAGTCCGTGCAGCGACCTCAGGCCGTGAACAATCGCTTTATAGCACCTCAATCCCAGGGAACCGTGGGACTGGCTTTGGATGTAAGTTCAAACGGGGAAAGAGTTCTTTAACATTGAATTACAAAATATATATAAGGTTACTAAATGTATAAAATGTAATACCAAATATTTCATCATCAACAGATTCCCATTGGCATCCTGCGCTCCTTGCAGCAATCTTTGGGAGCCCTCACCGGCGGAGTAGCTCCTCCGCAGCATGCTGCTCCTGTCCAGCATCACTAAGCTAAGCTCTTCGACAAGGCCCTGGAAATCCAGTTAACGGTATTTGTAAGCCCTTCTTTAAACACCTCCACCCCGTCCTTAACCCGGTGAAAATCAATACGCCCAAGACAAAGGCAGTTGTATTCAATAAAGATGAGTGACAAAAAAAATCGGACATAATAGAGTTTTTCGAAACAATGTCTTGGCTTTAAAGTACAGTACATACTCGTTAAAAAATGTATATTTTATGAATACAGTTAATAATTTGTATATAATTTGTAGTTTGGCAAAGGCTAAACTATCGTTATAAAAGGGCTTGCTTACCTTATATACAAATACAAAAAAAAAACCTATTAAACTCCTTGTTGGAAGTAAGGGGGAATTCCCAGGAATGCTCTTTGCTTATAGAATAAACTCTTAAAATTAATTGAAAGTGTTGCAAGTGCTGGACACGTGCTCAACCATCAACTATTTGAGCTGGACAAGTGATTCCCAGGAAATTCAAATAGAAAATCAAGCCTATGTAGACTTGACCAACTACTAAGTAGGAAACCTTGGTCAAAGCACTTAACTCTTGGTTAAGTATAAAGTGTTTGCCAGTCAGTAGTCATGTTTGTTGTTGATTAAAAAGGGTCTCGTCTCTCACGCCATTAAATCAAATGCCACAACACACAATGCAGGGAAATGAATTGAAATGGCATCCGCATATCAGGACGAGCAGCATATTGCCTGGGAAAATTCGCTGGAAATTCAACTTGAAAGCTTGCTGGCAAAATACCCAAGCTTGTTTATTTAGGGGACCTGTGTGTGTGTGTGTGTGTGTGTGTGGAGGAGATCCAGACCTCAGACAAGATATGGCACACACACACGCCACACTATCACCATTGAGTGTGAGGCAGCAAAATATTTCACACTCCGCAACCGCAGGCACTTGGGTGCCCCAAATTTACAAGAAGGGTAGTGTAAATGGAGGGTATGAATGCACAACAACAACAACAAAAACAACAGCACCAACGAGGACATGCATTGTGTAAATGTGCTTAAATACTCGAAGGACTTTCATGCTTTTAACCCCCTGAGTCACGAGCCGGCACAAGGGTCGGTCAGCGTTTGTTTAGGGCCTGGCTCGTGTAGTGGCCGCTATTTAAATTTCTTAATTAGTGCTTGACCGGGAATTTACAGCCCGTTAGTCGGTGTACTAAACATCCAATGGGGCATCCTTTTACAGTCCTTTTTTACACGGAAATGAATGTGCAACAGGCTTTTAAGGCACTTGTTCTCCTTGCATTTGGGTAAACATTGAGGCTCGGCTGGAATTAAAAGAAAACATGATTTAAGGTATGCAAAATTGGAAGATATAGTCATTCATGTCTTTTCATTTTTCCAAAGAACTTTGAGTGAATTGGAGAGATAATAGAAACCTAACAGGGATTGGTTTTCATTTTATTTCATTAATTTCTGAATGAATTCCTGCTTTGGGTTTACTTTTATATCAGTTCTTCAGGAGTCACTTAAATTTAAATTCTTCCAAAAATGTATGTTTGTTTAGAATTAACCTTTAATATATTGTACCATTTAATGTAAGAGTTATTGCTCTCATTCTTTTTTACTAAGCAATTTGTAGTTTATCATTTTTTGTATTTGCTATTCTGAAAGAAAGGCAGGAACTCGCATAATAATGACCTTTTAATTGAAATTAATGCATTTCCAACTGAACACACATGCATAATTTTCCTAAAAATATAAATCCTTATGATAGAGCACAATATTTCTGGTCATTTTTCAGGGAGGTAAGGCCAGAGAAAATTATTCTTTGACCATAATTTAAATTTTCTTTAGGAGGAAACAAATACATATATTTTCAATAATTTCCGACATAGTTAAGGTCGCCCGAAACCCACAGGGCAGCTTTTGTGTGTTTTTTGTTAGTCTTTTTTCTCCCGAAGGAGAGAAACAGGAGCAGCTCACAGGACCTCAGGAAATCGGTGGCCCCGATGGAAGGTCAAAGGCGCCGCAACGCGAAGCTCGGTTCGTGGGTCGCGGCTTGCCTCATTAAATTTAACGCACGTGCCGCACAAATTATGTTTACACACAGGCACACACACCACACACACACAGCATACACACTCTCCGTCCGAGTGGGCATACATTTAAACATTTTCGTAATTTAGAGTTTCAGTACAAAGGGAAATGCTAGTGGAGAAATTGAAAAGGTTTTCTTTCGGTCTACAATTTACGTGGGACGAAAGAACGAATGAATAGCTGCCGGTCTAGGTTAAATCATTCAACAAATGTGTGGCGTTCTCTAGCAAACCGCACACACATGTCCTTATTAAGTTGCCTTCTTTAGGGAGCCTGCCCCAAAAGGTAGGCAACATAAAATTTCAGTTATTTGCTGACGAGACCGCACTCAAGAATTGAGCTGTTAAAGGTGCTTAAAGTTCGTAAGTTCAGCAACACGAATCGAATTTTCGACAATTATATTGCTTTTACTTTGCAATCTGCCTAATTGTGGAACAGTAATTTACTCCAATTTAATTTCCTTTCCCAAAAACAAAGCTTTTGGCTTGCTTTGCACATGTTTAAGGCCTCAAATTGCATTATGCCTTAAAGATAATGGGTGAAAGTCGCTTTAAAATGAAAAACAAGTGGGAGAAAATGTGTATTCTTCTGTGAAGTTTTGTTGTTTACGTTAAAGTTTTTTAGAATTCTGAAAAGTATAAATTAACTTTATAATAAAACCTTTTCTAATGTATAGGAAAGGAATACTTTCACAGGTTTTAAATCTTTTAAATAGGCTTTCTTTGAACTCAAATATTATAGTTTTTATCTTTAAGTAGTAGTAGGGTTTTTTAAAGATTTATATTTCTTGGAAATAACATAGATTTTAATGTAATTTTGGTTCTGATGTCTTTTATATCATTTTTCATTAATCTTAGCGGTTACTTTAAGGAATGTATTTTCCCTTTAAAACCTTTTAATGCCGGAAATCATCCTGAAACGTACAAGTGTGTGAAATTGTGTAAAATTTTCGCTTAATGTTCAGCGTGGCAGACTTTTGTAAATCGTTGCCGGGCCAACGCTGCGTATGCTTAATATCCCGATTCCTCCATCGCCAGGTAACTAACTGTGGCACTTATAAATATTCATTGCTCCTCGGCCCAGCTTACGCAGATCGAGTGCAAACAGCTCGAGCATAAATATTCATAAATTCAGCGGTATGTAGAGATCTGCACTTGCACAAGAAAATAAATGGTGAAAAACTTTCCATTCGCCGCTTTGTCGCTCTTCATTAAAGTTTTCCCTGTACACACGTGCAGTTGCCTTACGACATACATATAAATATGACATCCAAATATGCGCTGTCTGCATTATTAATGAGTCGCCTCCATTTAATTGAAGCAATGTGATTGTGGCCATTGCGACAGGTGGTGGGTGTTCGCAAGGTGCGTTGATCCGAGCGGGCCTGAACACCTGTCGTGTCTGGGCATATGCAAATTCGACTTTGCCACGTGCTCCGGCGTCTCCGGTTTTTCTCCGGCTCCTGATTCCTGTTATCCCGGAATTCGGTCTACGTTTTCTGCTTTAGTCGCCGCCGCCTGACTGCCACGCAAAAGTGTCAACACACTCAGTTCGTGGAATTATAATCCTTTGCTGTCGACATTGCTTCCGAAACGTACGATTCCACCGCAGAGAAATGGTAAATATTTATAATTAAAGGGAATTTTGGATGGAAAGTAATAAAAAACAAATAAATAATAAAATTCGAAGAACCTTACCTAGGGAAATATTTAAAGATAAAGTCAATTTACTTCAGAGATTCTTTATGTACTTAAGCATTTCTGCAAATGAAATAACTACATCTTCAAAATATAAATTATGTGTAAAGTTATCATTATTTAACATCTAATTCTGTATTTTTATTCAGAAAATGAAATTAAAATAGGTTTAAACTCCCAAAGCTTATATATATCCTGCAATGGGTATTCTAAAAGTCACCTCCCAACCTCTGAGCACTTTAAATATTTTATGTTGAACACGTAAATAACACAAAACCCCAAAACTAAAGCGCGCAAGGGGAACTCTTTATTTTTCGGGTAAAAGCAATGAATAAGAAGAAAGCTGTTGCCAAATATACAACTCAATAAATCGTGTACTTTAAACAAGAGAATCGTAAACTTGGCCAGGTTTAAGTTAACCGCAAATATTCAGGATCTCTGTCAACAGGTCCTGGTTCGTTCTATATACTTAATGTACATTTTCGGTGGAAAATTTTATTGAAACTTGCCATAAGGCCATAAAGGTGAAAAGCAACAGATGCCACGGGATTTGTGGCGGCGAAAATAGAAGAAAATTATGAAAAGCTTGCGATAAACCACAAAACAAAGACCGCAAAATCTGTTTGAGCTCAAAATATACACCTTTAAGTCTGGGAAATATTTTAAGCGATCAAATTGCAACAGTTCGGTGTGCCACCTTGCCAAACAAATAAAAAATCGAATAAAAATGAACCCAAGTTAAGTTGGAAAAATGGCAGAGCCAAAAAGTGCTTCCGCCTTCCGAGTTTTGTGCGGTGCAATGCCTTTTTGCCATTTGGTAATAAAATCATAAATCCCCAGTTAAAAGTAAAAGGGAGAAAGGAAAAGCAGAGAGCAAAAAAGGAAAGGAGTTGCCGAAAAATACGAACTCCGGGGCCAGGAAGCGGAAATTACGTTGGCCTGTCTTGGGCTTAACCTTTGTCTTCGCCGCTTTTCCCGTTGCCGTTTGAGGATTCGCGCTCCGGCCATGAATGATTGCAGTTTAAACTCGTCGCCGCCGCCGGAGTCTGCTGTTCCAGCAGAGGCTTCTCCCTTTTTGCGGAGCACCTTGTGCCGGGTCCGCGGGTCTTTATGAAGCTCCATTCTGCTTGGTTACATTTTTATAGCTGCAACAGCAGCAGCATAATTAATTCCATTTTACGACGACAACGGGGCGCGGCGGAGTTGCAAAAATGCAGAAAGTCAATTAACTGAAAAAGCAGCCGGCAAAGAACAAGGGCCAGCAGCAGCAGCAGGACCGAAAGGATACTCGGAGCTGGCAGGATGCTGATGAGGTTGTAGTGGCTTAACTGAGCATGCTGTAAATAAATCAACGGGTGAAGTTGGTGTCGGGGCATAAATTCTGGGCTTCCTCCTCGGCCAAAGGGCAGTCCATTATCCGAATGTTAACTTTTTTATAAGTGCTGCCGGGGTTTCTCAGATTTCACTTAATTTTTTCAGCGGCGAGTAAATGGATTTAAATGGGAATGAATTGGTTCCTTGAATGGAATGGAGATTTACTGCGGAATTATTTTTATTTAGTTGATATTAAAATAACGATAAGTGATTTAAAGAGTGGGAAACGTAATTCAATTGTTTAGATTTTAGCAGCAGTGTGTTAGTTTAGTGTTAGTTCCTTGGGTAATAATCATTATTTGACCTTGATTCTTTGTAAAATAATTCGAAATATAAGGGTCTAAGTTAGTAAACAGCTTTTTTACGTATTATCTGTATATTTAAAAGTCTCACCTTTAAGTATATTTTAAAGTGAACAGCTTAAGATTATATTACGTTTTTTTGTTTTAAATTTGAAATCCCCAAGAAACCGTTACGCAGGGCTGCCATCATTCCTGCAGACACCCCCACAGTTGGTATTTTCCTCACACGGCCCATTGGTATATTTTTAAGCTCGCGCCGCGGTCACACTGGCCCATCAACCAAAACAAAACCTCACCAACCGGCGTTTATTTTATTTATTTTGCAATAATTTCCCCGATTTTGCCCGCTTAAAGAGCTTTTCGCACGAAAAGTCAACTAACCCAACAGGCTTCCTGCATCGCCACATCCTTGAAATGAGCTAGCACGCAGTGGTCAGCGATTCCGGAGTAAACAAGGAAAACGTGAGTAGTTAGAAGGTGGCCAACGAGGGTGGAAAAGCGCAAGGAAACGCGGCAATGTTCAAACCCAGGCGTCGCGACATCGGCTCCTCCATTCGAGTGGCAGCCGAGCAGCAGAAAGGACACGCGCCGCGCACAACGTTGGGGAAAGTCGTCGCGACTTGGGGGCCCAAACAAACCATAAATCTATTGGCTACATAAGTTGTGTTTCTGCACTTTTCAGCACCCAATCATGGAGGACTTTGCCAGCATAAAGCCAAACAGTTCCGTGGTCAAGCTGGCCGCCTGCCTGGAGAAGATCTACACAAAAATCGTGGAGAGTCGGGACAAGCAAGTGCCGGAGCACCAGATCAAGGAAATCGAGTTCCTCAAGTCGCAATGCAAGCACGAACACATGCAATTGAGCCTGATGAGCTGTCAGACCCTGGTGCGGCTGGTGGACGAGGGTGCCTTGGAGGCCAATGGAGTTCAGAACAGCCTGCTCTCCATGCTGGCCAGTGCGGGGTAAGTGGATGTATCTGCATGTCTATATCTATATCTAGCTGGAAACACGCCCACGACCCACATAGCACAATTCCGCAGGGGCGCACCTTTGAACTTCCGGCAGCAGCTGAAGGTGCAGTCTAAGTGGAGCGCAGCGATTCCATTTTGCAAAATTGCCCACATAAAGGTGCATAAATTATCGAAGCAGTCAGCCAGGCAGACCCACTGCAGCCACTTAATTAACGCGCCATTTAACGCCTGCCACCGACTGCTTCCAAAACATTGTTGTCCCTTCGTCAGCACGCAATCCCTCGCATTTCCGCTGGACGCGTGCCCCAAATTAATTGCCCCCAGCACTTGGCACGTCATGTAACAAATGCGCAAATGAATTATGACTCGCCGCGGTGTTTCTCCCAAAGCCCAGTTCTTTTTTGGCATTGACTTGATTTCCGCTTGGCCGCAATCCCAAGTCGTCAATCTTCTGGCCCTAAGCGATTATGCAGGCGGCGCCATAAAAACTATTAGCCACTTCCAGCCACGCACATGTACAAAGTCCGCTTCCCCATATCATTTACAGCGTCCTTGGCTACCAAATATTTGATTTGATTTGTATGCAAAAGGCGTTGGCATAGCGTCTGCCATTGAACTTGAAATGTTTGCTGACGAAGGACGAACAAGCGGTCATGTAAGGCCGGAATTAACCTTGATAAGGCGGGCTGCAAGTGCACCAGAAGCTAGTGCCGGTGCAGGTGCAGGTACAGGTAAAAAGGATTGAATATTAATTGGCCCGCAAGGGAGCAGCGGCCAGCGGGCAGACCAGCGCGTGAATAATAATTACCCCGTCAAACGCAAAGCGATTTGCTCCACCTCCTAATCCTTGACTGCTTATTTTCTGCTGCACAACTCCTGGTCCCCCGGAAGTGGGTGCTAAACGCCAGTTCCACCTTAATGATGGCTTACATTGTACTTTTATCTGGAATTTAACACTGATTACTTGTTTTTTTTGGGGCGCTGTTTCAAATTTGTTGATCAAGTTACCTATTTTTCGTTTAACTTAATATTTAAATGTATTAAGCCTTTACATATATTACAATTAATCTTTCTTATTAAACTTCAATGAGAAGTGTAAGAAATTCAGAATCAGTGTTTATAATTTATGCCCTTGCAGGGAATTATAAATTCAGTTAGAAGCTTTAAAAGCAGTGAAGGAACCATTTCCGACCCTATAAATCATATACATTCTTGATCAGCACGAACAGCCGAATCGATCTAGCTGGGTTCGGAAGAAATTTAATTTTTCAAAATATTTTTCAATTTTTTAGTCCAAATTTTACATTAATCAAATATTTGAAATTTGACAAAATTTGAAATTTGTAAACTTTAAAAACTGAATATGCAGATTTGTTAACCCTATGAAAACTAGCACAGAACAACTTTCCGAATTAAAATTAATGCATTTTTGGCTTAGTTATGAGTTTTTTAAACTCTGATTTGTTGAAAAAATTGCCATATAAAAATATAGATAAATATAGGCTAAAAAATAGTATTGTAATTTTAGTCAAAGGATTGAAACACAGTGAAGAAACCATTTCCGACCCTATAAATCATATATATTCTTTAGGCAAAATTTGACATTAATTAAATTTAAAAAATTTGGCAAAATTTTAAATTTGTAATCTTTAAAAACTGAATATGCAGATTTGTTAATATTATGAAAACTAGCACAGAACAGCTATCCGAATTAAATTTAATGCATTTTTGGCTTAGTTTTGATCGATTTCACATTCGACCCCAAGATCCTAGGGGTGACTACAAGGGTAGACTTTGGCTGCTAAAAGCTAGCTTCTCTTCATTCATGATTTTCATTCTTTTAATACCATTTTACACTTTTCCTTTAAGACCTCTTCACTTTTCCATAATCACGGAAAGCGTTCTGGGCTTGCAGCTGCTTAACTTGAAGCGCAAGACGTCGCTGCTTAAGGATCAGGAGTCCTACCAGTGCTCCTATGGCCTGAAGACGCAGCAACATCCTCTGATCTCGCTCCTCCAGCACTCGAGTGTCAACATGCACGATGTGAGCAACAAGATCATTGGCATCTGTCAGCACCACGACAAGGGGTAAGTACTGCCTCGCTTTCGTATCAAATTAACTAAATTATTCCCTTTAAATAAACAGCATTCGGGACTATAGCATTGAATACCTACGACCCGTTTTCCTTTACATACTTTGCAATCCGCAAACCATGCACGATGTGAAGCCCATTTGGACATGTCTGCTGAATCTGAGTGGCAGTCAGCCGGAAGCAAGGGCTTTAATGCAGGAGTTGCTGGCTTGGAGCAAGTTCAACAACGCAAGCACGTGCTTGTGCACCAGCATCCTGGTCATTGAGGCCATCGACCACTTCCTGCAGCGCGAGGACCACGCTCAGTCTATTGATTTTGCCATCTATCAGGCTTGCCTGATCAAGCAGCTGGCCAACTACGGCATCGATCCGCGTCCCAGCCTGCAGTGCTTGCTGCGAGTACTCCATGCAACACGGGAACACACTAAGGATCACTACCATGTCCTGCTGGTGCTCCTATCGGAGGTGCTGCATGTTCTATCGCCTTTCTATCTGGCGGATCTGCTGCGCATCATCGTTTTCGTGGTGGTGCAGGAGCGCTGTGGCCATGAATACATTCTGAACATGTGTCTGGACGGCATAATCCAGTGGATGTCTCAGACTGCATTCATACCCGCAGAGGGCTTGGCTTTGGCCCACCAAATAGTGGACAGGATACTGGATACACCGCGATCGGAGCAGGATGGAGAGAGAATTGCCACCAAGCTGTTGAGGCCCGCTCACATGCGGAATTATCATCCGGACATTGCGATCGCCTTTGATCTTGCTACTCTGGTGGAATCCTTTGACGCCTCCGACAACCAGGATGTGTTTGCCTTTGTGGATGCCTTGAATGTCAAGGCCAATACGGCCTTCTGTCAGCGGCTGCACCTGTTCCTTAGGGCTCTCTTCTTGTCGAGAGAGCCACCCGTGGATTGCTGGTTTAAGATCTATGAGGTTATCCTGCAGATCATTAAGGTGAACGAGGGCATTGCCTATGATTTTCTGATGACGTATATATTTAAACTGGCCCACGAAAACAATCCGGAGTTGCAGCTTGAACTGCTCAGAGGATTACCAAGCTTTGCAGTGTCCAAGGTAAGGGTCATAAGTCTTTAAAGTTCCTAAATAAAAGATTTGTTTCAGGACAATGTACCCATGATACTCAACACCATAAGGAACTTGTCTGCTGAGAACGGGACCTTCTGCGTTGATCTGTATCTGCGTTTGTGGCGCGTGGAGACGCGTACTTATCCCTTCTTGTTGAAGCAGATAGCTCAGCCTCTGCCGGATGGTGAGAAGCGCTGGGAACTGCAAATAGCACGCACACATGCCATGAGGGAAATCTGCCAGGAGAAGTAATTAAGAAATTTGTAATCCTCCACATTAAGCTCTTTCTTAACTATCCCCCTTTTATTCCAGACCCTCTTTACATGGCTCGGAGCTGCTGCCGCACCTGAGCAACACCCTCAACAACTGCTCCGACGAGGCAGGCGATCTGGCCACAGCTCTGGCTCTGGATGCTATTTATGCTATGTGTGATAGCCACACCGTAAACATTGCCTCCACCTGGCAGGCTCTGGGCAGTAAATTCCGGAGTGAACAGCGCCCACAAACCCTCAAGTCTCTATATAGATTTTTTGGCCTAGTTCCGCTCCTGCAGACGCCCACATTGGAGTACGAGAAGCTGGCGGACGATGCCCTGGAGCAGCTGTGGCAGGCCATCAGTCGACCGGGCACAGATGCCGCACAAGTCCGGAATTCTCTGGCTGCCTTGAAGAACTATGAACCGGGAACTACACTCAATCTTCGCCACATACCGGCACAGTTTCGATTTGAGATCGTGGGAGGAGGTGTCGGAGTCGGTGTCCCCGGTGGTCGAGAAGTTCTCGATCTGCAGCAGGAGACGGTGCCGGGTGAGGTGTGGGTGCAGCTACTGCAGAAGATACGACCCGAGTGTGGAGATGCTGCGGCCGATCTTATTTCCCATCACATTGGCAGTGAGATTGATGGCTTTCGGAGCGGAGTGTATCGCCTTCCCGAGGGAAAACCAGAGCCACGAAAGCTGGTGGGATTATTTGCTACCAGTCCACTTCGAGCTGTTACCAATTATGTGGTGAGCCAGGCTCGCTTCGGGGACTACGTACCCGAGCCCTATGCCGTGACCTTTGCGCTGCGTTCGCTATCTAAGAAGTTCTCGAAACCCATTCCACCACTCGACTGGAGCTGCCTGACGAGCTTCTTCCACCTGTCCTTTGATGCACGGAAATACTGCATCATGATAGCCAAGAATCAAGCGCTGAACTCTGGAACGGCCAAGCGACTCCTGGAGAACTTCCTCGTGGACTTTGAGCCCAACTGCTTTGAGGAGGATCTCCTGCTGCTCTTCTCGCTGCTGCCGGAGATTGCCAACAGCGTAAGCCTGCAGATCCTGAAGAACTTTGCCGAGAAAGTGGCCGTCTATTGCTTCAAAGAGTCCCAGCTCAATGACTTTGCCGAAGGCTGCCTCTTTGAAAAGTTCCTGGAGAGCGTTAAGTACATTTTCACTGGAAAGTGCGACATACCCGAGGTGCTGGATGTCTTCACGCTGATAGTGGAGCGATACATGGACTCTATGAATCTGGATTCGAGGCTCTTTGAACGCTACACCGAGGTGGTGGCTACATTGCATCCCAATGCCATCGACGGGCTCACTACGCCTGCTAACTGGTGGGAGACACCAGCTGGCAAGCTCAAGAAGGCCACCATCATCCGCTGCTATCTGGTGCTGTACAACGACAAGCTGCCGAATCCCCTGAAGTGGCTAACTCCCATCATAGATGCCTACGAGAAGCGGGAGGAGGAGCGAACGTTCTTCTATCGTCACTTAGCCGCCACACTGTATGCCTTTGGCAGTGACGAGCACGCTTGCAACTGGATATCGGAGATGTTCCTGGAGATCCAGATGCTGCTGGCCGAGGCCTCCAACAAGGAGAAGGTCAACCGAGCACTTTACCTGCTGGACATCTTCATGCTGGCGGTGGATGTGCTCTCCGGCTGTGCGGTGCTGCTGGGAAGTGTGGATGTGGTGGCTACCGACGCCAAGCAGCGACTGTCGCTGTTTCCGGAGAGCATGCAGTACCTGTGCGATCACATTTTCTGGAAGGATCAGGAGGCGAAGGTAGAAAACTCACTAGAATCATTTCAGGATGCATGTTTAATGGTTGTTATCCCTTTTAGATTTACGAATTCCTCTTCAATCTGTACAAGCACACTTCTATGCCCTCGTCCTATGCCGATGTGTTCAGGGAGGCCATTATATGCTCCCGGAATAAGCCATATTTTGACAACAAGGGCGTCTGGACCAAATACGTAGGCCTGCGTAAATGAGAACCAGGACGAACACACTCACCGCCTTTAACCCCTATGCCCACGCCTGAAGTGCACTTAAAGGGTTAAGAACCCAAGCCCACACAATACCGTCAATGTTAGTCAATTTTTGATAGCAAAACGCAATCTTTGTTATTTATATGTGTTTCAGATTTAAACTATTGTATTAAATGCATTTTTGCGCACAAGTTTTACAATTTCTAATGTAATATTCAATTTAATAATATATATTTTTCAGTGTATTCCAGCGAAGCCAGCAAAAAGCTTTGATATAACCGTTACATTGGCAATTTAAGTTAATGATAGTTAAACAAATGAATCTGGCCACTCTTATTTGTGGTATATTTCCAATATTAACTGCCATGTGCGGAGTGGACAGTTCCATGGTATATTTTAACGGTCCAAGCGCGGTCACACCAAATGGCAGAATTATTATTATTTATCAAAAATGCAAATTAAATAGAAAAGTGCATCGACAATTAAACCATTATACCAAAGCTCTCGTCGCGTGTGCTTCTAAAACCGGTGTCAACAAAAGCCGGATTGTGATTCCTCACCGCGCGGTCTTCATCGCAGGCAACAGGAAAACCCAATCAGAACGTAAACAATGGACGAAATAAAGCTCGCCAAGGTTAGTTCCCAGCTTAATCAATGCCAAATTGTGCGATAGGGTTAAGTGCAGTCATGGTTATTATGTGGGGAGCACCTGGATGCCCCAAAAGGGTTGTGAGTCATCCACCTAGATTGCTTGAAAATCGATGGCGAAGACGAGCGGTCAGGTGTTGACCTGTGCTGGGCGGAAGGAGCGACCGGCTGGCGGTTCCACGCCCTCCTCCCGCAGCGTGGGAAGCGTTTCCCAGAAAGCAACAAGAAACAATTTCATATCTATTAATATATGACCGTAAAACATGCGCATAGAAAGTAAATAGGCGGTGGTGACCTCTCTCCAATGAATCCACATCCACAACATCCCACACAGGCGCAATTTGAGGGGCCAATTTTTAACCGTGAAAATGTAACTTCTCGAAAATAATACCCTCAGCATCCGTGGGGGACGTTCCCAATCTTGGCCTTCGAAGGCTCATTCATAAGCTAAGAATATGCAAATATTTGGATTAAACGGTACAATTCCAGGGAAAAATATTCCACAGGGTGTGTAATCGGTAATAATCTAATCACTGAAATTTAATTACAGAAATTGCGATTGATTAAAAGTCAATAGGTGTTAAATTTTCATTACAAAGTTGGTTTTCTAGGGCTATATATATTTTTAGGAAAACATTTAACGGACTTTAGTATCTCTCAAAATAAATTAGCATTCAAATCAGTTTTTTTTTATTTTAACTAAAAATGAAACAAAGTTAAATTTGGTTAGTGAACTAACAATAGACTTGTTTTTGAGCATGACACTTATTTATTTTCTAGTCTTATATTAAATATTTCCTAAACTATACAAACAACATTTTCAAACTTTCCCTTACCTTTCATTGAACAAAACATATAACCCTTGCAGGGTATGCAAATGTAGTCTTAAAATTTCCCATTTCGAAGAGAGCATTTCCCTTATCGGCGAATTTCCCCAACACAAATCGTAGCACGCTTTTAAGCGCGCGCCTTGCTCGCAGGCAGCTGAGTTAACTTTCAACGCTCGACGGGAGCACTTCGCTGCTTTCGCTTTCTCCCAAAGGCACTCACACACACACACACTCGCACACAAAGAAAGCCAATAGAAAATCGCACACGAAAATCGCACAGCGATTTGCAGTGTACATTTCGAGTTTTGCCGTTCGTGCGGCAGGCGAAAAGTGAAAGTCTCAAGAGTTATTACCGCCCACCCAGAGCAAATTCATTCCGTTTGATTTGCGAGCGCCCTCCTCCTGTTATTATTGTTTTTGTTGCTGTCCTAAAATCAATAAAATCCGGCTGGCTCTTGCACAATGGACTTCACCCGTTTCATGAACAAGTTCAACGAGATCGAGCGCCAACTGTCCCCCACCTCAGCGCTGCGCCTGAGCTTCGACAACATCTCGCCGGAGACGGAGGAGCCGCCGGACGGAAATAAGCGGCTTTGGGGTGTGCCCGTGCCGCCCTTCGTCTCCGACAAAGTCGTATCCTGGATCGAGGAGGAGTTCAACGAGGCGCCCGTCTTCTACAATGGCAACAGTGTGCTCAAGAAGGTAACTGCCCTGCGGCCCATTTCTATGCAAATCTCCACGATGTACAGAGAGAAATCCAACTAATTTTCCGTTTTACGCATTGCCACCGGCTAGTGGCCGGAAAATATGCAAATCACCAACGGGGCGGGCGGACGCTCGGGCAATATGTTCGGGGACCGGCCGCCCTTCCCAAATAAGTTCCCCAACTATTTGGGTCACTTGGTTTGGGGGGACTGTGCAGTTGGACTATATACATCCTGAACTGCATCCGAGGCGCCTTGTGCGTCACTCCCTGCCACAAGCACGTACAAATTGTTGAATTGTTGCATTGTCAGCAGGACACTAGAGTCCGGGATGTAATGGGTTTTCAATCAAAGTCAGAGATAGAATTGCTGCCTCCCGGTTGGAGCAAATTGCACTCGTTCATCTAGTGTTGTCGCCACCGTGGTGGCAACAGGCTGACATCTGTCAAGGTCTCCCGGGGTCTGGGTTTAATTAACCTCCTCTATTTGCAGTTGTGTTGTTTCAGGTTTAATGGCAGCCGGCGTGTGTTTCCAATTCTATGTTCGATTTATGGATGTCGGCACACATTTCTTCATTGTTTCGAATTCGTTTAGCAAGAATGGAATATATAGGATTACTTGTTTCATTTTTTTTGGCTTCGTTATGGGATATTTAAACATTGACAATGTAACATTGTAAAAGTTTTTTTTCCGATCAGTCCTTTGGCAGCTATATATATGTATATATATAGTCCACCGATTCTCCGTGCTCCGATTTATATACTAGTAAAATTATATAGAAGAACTAATGCATAGTTTCATTTCAATAGCTTGCTTTTAAATTTGCTCCAAAACAAATCTCTCTCTGTACATATGATTCTCAACTGGTTCAAACATCCCCGGAACGAAGTGCCTTCTGCCAGCCAAGTCAAAGTAAAGTGTTGTGTTACAAAAGTGCAAGTCATTGTTTATTAGTGTTGAGAGTTACTTACTCCTCATAGATACTTACTGGTCACTCACTGTTCAGAGTTACTTACTGGTCATTGTTAATTACTGATCATAGTTAATTACTGGCCATAGATACTCACTGTTCAGAGTTACTTACTGGCCATAGATACTCACTGTTCAGAGTTACTTACTGCTCATAGGTAATTATTGATCATAGTTGATTACTGACTATAGATCTATAAATCGTCCGATTGTTCCTATGGCAGCTATATATATGTATATATATAGTCCACCGATTCTCCATGCTCCGATTTATATACTAGTAAAATTATATAGAAGAACTAATGCATAGTTTCATTTCAATAGCTTGCTTTTAAATTTGCTCCAAAACAAATCTCTCTCTGTACATATGATTCTCAACTGGTTCAAACATCCCCGGAACGAAGTGCCTTCTGCCAGCCAAGTCAAAGTAAAGTGTTGTGTTACAAAAGTGCAAGTCATTGTTTATTAGTGTTCAGAGTTACTTACTCCTCATAGATACTTACTGGTCACTCACTGTTCAGAGTTACTTACTGGTCATTGTTAATTACTGATCATAGTTAATTACTGGCCATAGATACTAACTGTTCAGAGTTACTTACTGCCCATAGATACTCACTGTTCAGAGTTACTTACTGCTCATAGGTAATTATTGATCATAGTTGATTACTGACTATAGATCTATAAATCGTCCGATTGTTCCTATGGCAGCTATATATATGTATATATGTGGTCCACCGATTCTCCATGCTCCGATTTAGATACTAGTAAAATTATATAGAAGAACAACTGCATAGTTTCATTTCAATAGCTTGCTTTAAAATTTACCCCAAAACAAATCTCTCTCTATACATATGATTCTCAACTGGTTCAAACATCCCCGGAACGAAGTGCCTTCTGCCAGCCAAGTCAAAGTAAAATGTTGTGTTACAAAAGTGCAAGTCATTGTTTATTAGTGTTCAGAGTTACTTACTCCTCATAGATACTTACTGGTCACTCACTGTTCAGAGTTACTTACTGGTCATTGTTAATTACTGATCATAGTTAATTACTGGCCATAGATACTCACTGTTCAGAGTTACTTACTGCCCATAGCTACTCACTGTTCAGAGTTACTTACTGCCCATAGATACTCACTGTTCAGAGTTACTTACTGCTCATAGGTAATTATTGATCATAATTGATTACTGACTATAGATCTATAAATCGTCCGATTGTTCCTATTGCAGCTATATATATGTATATATATAGTCCACCGATTCGCCATGGTCCGATTTATATACTAGTAAAATTATATAGAAGAACAACTGCATAGTTTCATTTCAATAGCTTGCTTTTAAATTTACCCCAAAACAAATCTCTCTCTATACATATGATTCTCAACTGGTTCAAACATCCCCGGAACGAAGTGCCTTCTGCCAGCCAAGTCAAAGTAAAATGTTGTGTTACAAAAGTGCAAGTCATTGTTTATTAGTGTTCAGAGTTACTTACTCCTCATAGATACTTATTGGTCACTCACTGTTCAGAGTTACTTACTGGTCATTGTTAATTACTGATCATAATTAATTACTGGCCATAGATACTCACTGTTCAGAGTTACTTACTGCCCATAGCTACTCACTGTTCAGAGTTACTTACTGCCCATAGATACTCACTGTTCAGAGTTACTTACTGCTCATAGGTAATTATTGATCATAGTTGATTACTGACTTTAGATCTATAAATCGTCCGATTGTTCCTATGGCAGCTATATATATGTATATATATAGTCCACCGATTCGCCATGGTCCGATTTATATACTAGTAAAATTATATAGAAGAACAACTGCATAGTTTCATTTCAATAGCTTGCTTTTAAATTTACCCCAAAACAAATCTCTCTCTATACATATGATTCTCAACTGGTTCAAACATCCCCGGAACGAAGTGCCTTCTGCCAGCCAAGTCAAAGTAAAATGTTGTGTTACAAAAGTGCAAGTCATTGTTTATTAGTGTTCAGAGTTACTTAC